TGTTACATATGCCTTATGTTTCATTCTTTCATTAAGAGATGTACATTTATAGTAAACTTGGAACTTTTGAAAATACTCCTCCCATGTTATGCTGAAGAAGAAAAAAAACTACTGTTTCCCTGTTTCTTCAAATGCAACCTTACAGGTGCTGTTTACTTCAAAAGGGTTATAATTATGTTTCTTGTTCTAAGCTCTTCTAAAGTGTATTTAGTTGATCATGTATATATATATTTGAACTTGAATAAATTCCTTAATTTTCTGCATGTAATTATTTCCAAAACTTCCTGTAGATGCTTTATGAGTATGTAATGCACCTAGGCTGATTGTAGGTCTTGAGACAATTTAACTACATTTTTTCAAAACATTAAGTCCTTGTTTGAAATTCTAATGTACTGTCTAGCATCATCTAGTGCCTTATTTTGGACATTAAAGTTTTTATTTTATTTGAATAAAATAAAATAAAACTGTATGATGTAAATACTAGGTATCATATTTGAAGTATATTTATAGTAGGTACTCTACATTTCAACGTTATTGTTTAAATAGACTATCTGTCTGAGGAAATAGTGGCAACATGTTAGATCCACATCTCTGAACATCTTGTTGCAATTTAGTTGAAGTGTTGTGATTTGTAACTTCAGACCATACCTAAAATTGACCTCTTCTAGAAAGAGAAAAAGCCAGTGCCCAGTGAAAATTCTTTAATTTCTCAACATATCACCTTATGGCTTTATCAAGAGGTAGACACCAAATAGAACACAAGCCTGGTTTTACCTTAACAAAATGGCTGATGTAATTTAAAATAACAACAATGTATTATCCCTATCATTATGGGTAGCTAGAGGTCAGTGGGCATGTCATCATGTTTATAGACTTGCATTCAGAATTTTATTGGACAACTATTTTAGGAATGTACGTCAGTAAAGTTGGTATCAAATTGTAGATTTTAGTTCAATTTTAGTATTATACATTAGTTAATGTCTTAGTTTGAAAGTAAATATAAAAAAAAAGCTAAATATTGATTTTTGTGTATCACACTGGTATGTCATCTTCTGGGTTTGGTTAGATTACATTTTATGATGCCCACAATATATATATATATGGTGTTTATATTTTCATACGAATTATAAACTAAAGCTTCTGATATTGACAAGCTAGAATATAAAATAAGAACCTCCTAACTTTTCTATTTGCTGAGATATCATAATATTTATCAAGTCCACCATATTGGCTTCGCCCACAACTTTATCATTTGAGAAAACTTGTTTATCTATGCTTTTTTTTTATACCAATAACTTTATAACCAATCAAAAGTTCTACACTTATTCTACATAATTCTGTCACTCTTCCTAAGTTATTTACAAGAGAAAGCCCCCCAGTGGCACAGCGGTATGTCTGCGGACTTACAACGCTAGAAACCGGGTTTCGATACCTGTGGTGGGCAGAGCACAGATAGCCCATTGTGTAGCTTTGTGTTTAATTCCAAACAAATAAACAAATACAAGAGAAAAGCTCTTATATTGTTGGAAAGTTTGAAGTATTATGATCAAGGCTATTTACTAAACAGAAATTATATCTTTTTTTAGACCCAAATACAATTTAGTCAGGAAGCCTAATAAATTACAGTGGATTTATGGAGTATCAGTACAGTAATTTATGATTTTCTAGTTCCAAAATGCTTATATAAATTCTACAAAAATTGTTATTTTTCCATTTCCACGTGTGAAATTGGATGAGGCTCAGCAAATATGGCTCACGAGTGCAAATGAGGACTTTTTGGCATCATAAGTAGTAGAGATAATTGTTTTCCAAATATTTTTCATTTACTCTTTTATGTTTGAAGAAAAATAACTGATACTTAAGTGTTTATTTGAAAATAATACTAATAATATATATATATATATATATTAACGCACACACAAGTGTAATAATATATTATGCGCACACATACATAATGTATGGTAGCCAAGTTTACTTACTTGCAGGTAATACTTTGTAAACACCCGGTTGAACTTGCAGTTAATTGGTGATTAATTTGTTTCTAAAGGTACAATCAAGAAGACTAAACCAAGAATACTTGTCCAATCAAAACAAGCCGTATTTATATTACTGGAAACTACACATTTATTGGTTACTGTGTAAGGAAACAGGATGTTCATAAGCACTTACACACATTTACACCTATACCAACACTAAATCCCAACCACCCAGGAAGATAACTAGCATCCAAATGCTTAAAACGTTTATTGGATCAGATACAACTTTGTACAGAGCCATATCATAAATATTTTCTCTCACTTTTATAAAGTACTTTAAAAAATTCTTGTTGCAACCACTGCAGTGTAAAGAAGCTGGCAAATTCTACCACACTGTGTTCTCAGAGCCGATATTTAAATATATTCTGTAGGATACATCCGCTTTGTCAGAATTTTAAAATAATATTATATATGTATATGGGTTCTGATTTATTTTTTGCCAATTGTTGAAATAAATGGCTTTTGCTTATATTTCTTAATAGCCTGATTTTAATAAAACTTATTTTATTCTGTTTCTATTCTCATTTCATCACAAATATGGTGCTATTGTGCACCGTTTTTGCTGTATTTAATTACAAGCAAATAAACAAACAATCTCAGAGTTTTAGTAGTATATAAATATGTGAAAGGATTAGAAGAAACTTTTAGGAGTTTACTTTGGAACTTAGTGATCCATACTGATAAAAGCAGAAAGTACTATTCATTTTGTTTCGTCTAGTTTGTAAGTCATCTCCTAACAATAAAATTACTACAGAAAATAAATGTGAAAAGGTGAGAGTGTAAGCTCTTTGAAACTTTGCGATCAATATAATAATACTGTACATTTTATTTTGCACATTGCAACCTTTATTTTTGTTATATAACATGGAGAATCAAGTATAATGCTACGGTAGAGGAAATAAATAATAAAATACAAAGTTTAATGAAAAGAGTGTGACATTTAATTACATGGTTATTTATTTTTTCATTTGTTTTCTTTATTCATTATTATAAAAGTAAATAAAATTATAAAAATAGAAATTCATTAGGTTAGATAATGAAAGAAAAATAATTAAAATCTTCATAGAGTATAGTAGCGAGCAGTTTGTGCATTATGCTATTTGATATGGTAACTTGAGCTGCATGTGTGCATTGTAATTTTCAACTTGTGTCGGGGTATTTCTAGTCAGGTATGGTTCAGAGGTCAATAAAACAAAAAAAATTAATAAATATTTGTGATTTCCTTTCACAATTTGTAAGATAGCCATGTTGCTTTGTGCCAAAAAATGCCAAACTAACCAACCACAATTTGCAGTTATTATAGAACAATAGAAATGGTAATTTAGATTTATTTCCTCATTTTTATGATGATTACAAGGTTGGTCAAATTGACTAACACTGTATAGAATTAAGGCTTATAAAATAAAAGATAAAATTTAAAGTTTTATTCAAAAAAACATTTTATAGTTATTTATGAGGATATAGAAAAGATGCAAATGAAACTTAAAACTTTCAGACAAAGAAAAGTATTTTTAATCTTAAAGTCCAATTTACTTTGCATGTTGGATAGTCAACATTCTGAAAAAAAAACAATTTCATGAGAAAATCTTTAATTAAAAAATCTTAATACTTAATTTAAATACCAGACATTTTGTGTACAAAAGCCTTGTAATGTTTACCAATAGCCTTCAAAAACTTGTGAAGATACTCATACATTATAAAAAATGATAGTACAATTACTCTTATGGATACATTTGTGGTTACGGGCTGGGTGGATTCCACCTAGCCCCTATTTGTAGGGTTATCATGTAACATCTGACATTACTACATAAAGAAATAAAGTAGGTGTTAAAATGTTCATATATACACAAGTCCACCATTTTAAGTGGAAACCCTTTATCCCTGTTGATTGAAGACTTCTCAGATCTAATGAGAAGGAACGCATTGTACTTCCTGTCCCAGCTGTTGCATTTTCTTTCTATTTTAAGACTATAAGGGTGATTGGATTTAGACACACTATTCTCAATAACAAAATGTGCTACAATTGCATTTCTATCAATCTCACCCAGCATTGTAGCATGAAGATGTTCTATGCAATGCTCTTTTATGGGTCTCTCAGTTTCTTCATTATATTTTTCATTGCAAATACCACAAGAGATACTGTAGACTACATCTTTCTCCTTACATTCCTTCAGAAGTCATAGATTGCATGTGATACAGCTGTTCTTCTGACAATGATTGCGAGGTTTAATGCTGAGCACACTAAGCAAAACACGCTTAGCAAATGTCCAGGCTTTTTTATTACACTTACAGATAAACCCAATTTCATCACAGCATTCTTAATGATATTATTAACCATAGGACTAATAAAGTTACTCAAGGAGACTTTTGGAAGTTGTTGATGGACTTCAGAAACTACGTAAAAAAGAGAAAGACAGTATTGACTTCAGTGTATTGTGCAAGAGCCTTCACAGTGGAAAATACACTGTAAAGCATATTGAAAACCATCACATCAGTGGTGGTAGACATTTTCTGTAAAGTGTAGTCATTCATCCACTTGTCAGTACCATAGATTTTGAGAAATATACCCTTCTATAGTTCACCAGGAAGTTGTCCATTTGAAACATTTTTACATTTAGTTTCCTATTGTACTAGGCAGTTGTCTGTTTAAAACTTTTTTTTTCATTTATGCTGTACTATGTAAGGTCATGCACCCATGCTGAAACTGTAATTAAGAAAACTTGATGTCTTCAAATTGTGGTAAAAGTTGTCTTCATTTTTTAATACATAATGTTTACATTAGAAAGGTTATTGAATTATTTAAAATCATTTTGAGTTTATGTTGTAGTGTAATGAATGCATGATTGCTATGATTCTTGACCATGCATCTCTGAATTTTGAAATGGAATGATAGATAGCATTGTGCTGTAATGAATATGATCTATTTGCTTTTGATATTTCTTGTTTGGTTGATTTCAGTTCTTCTGGGTGTATTTACATCGTATTTTTCAAGAACTTTTAACTTTGAAATCAAATACAGCAGAGCCCAATGTGAATGAAATGACAAGTGAGTTACCTTTTTTTTTTATATGTTATCAAAATTTAATATGAATATGTTGCAATTTAACAGTAGATAGTCCAAATAGAATAAGTTAGATACTAGTGGGTATATTTTCATAATAAACTGATGGCTAGCAAGAACTCTGCAAACTAAACCTACTTGCTAACCCTTGTACCCACTGAGTAACTGTTTTGGTATTTGTTTTATATATAAAAGTTCCTTGACACTTTTTAAAATAATATTAAATAATTTATTTTATAAGTCAGAACTAATTACTCTAAAACATCTTTAAAGCTTGTAACACTACAAATGGGAAGAAAAATTAATACAAACTACTGTTGACATCACTATTTGTATAACATATATGTAGTTCCCATCTAAGAAAATGTATTTAGATACTTATTTCATGAACATAAGTAGGTGTTCTGTTTTCAAAACATCAATATTTAACCAAATTATATTTTTTTAATATGTTCCATTTTATTTTTAACAGTGAGCAAAGTGGGTTTTTCAGAATTGAAGTGAATTTATATATAAAGGGGAACAAATCTAGATTTGGAATCTTTAGCCTAAGCTAGTATCTGAACTACTGTACTGCTTCTTTGCTGTTGGTGAATAATGATGCGTTTTTTATAGGGTATAACATGAATTTGCATTTGTATCTTTCAGAAGAACTGGCATTTTGATTTAAGCTTGTGATTGGCGGCTTTGTCTTAAAAGACCCTTAACTTAGTAGCATTAAATTATTATAAGAGTGATATTTCCTCACAATATGGTGGTTTAGTGATATTTGCATATTAACTCACTTTGGATTGGATTTTTTGGATGATCAACTTGCCATTAAAACTGAAAACACTACAGATCTCTTGGAAAACTTTCATAATCTCTTAAATGTTGTCATTAGTGGGATGTTGGTAAATTGTCTGGACATTGCAGACATTTACATAGACATGCTTTATCCAATGTAGCAATGTGGTAATCTCAAGGATAAAACTAACACACAGGTACTCAATCTACTACTCAAAATACTAGAGGTTCAAGGATGTACTATGTGAAATGATAGAGTATATGCATTCTTGAAGTCAAAATAGAATCAAATGTTTTATTGTAGAAATACTGGAAATAAAAAGGCTGTTCTGCTAATGGTTAAACTATTGCGGTATGGAAGAATGTAACACTTTCCACACAAGCTTAGTCGAATCAACCAAGTTCTTAATATTTTGTGCTTGTTACAGTATCCATACTATAACTTTTAATACAGTATGTGTATCTTCACAAAATTTGGCAGACTTTGATTTTTATATATCATATGTTATTTGTTAGTTTCTCTATCCTAACTATATATATAAAGGTACTCATTTTACAAGACTTTTATGCAAAAAAAATTAGGTTTTTTAATTAATTATTTTTAAAAGATTTCTCTGAATATATCGATTAGTTTTGTTTACTAGTTCGAATGCAAAGTGATTTTCATTTTAAGATTAAAAATACTTTTATTCATCTGAAATTTTCAAATTTCATTTGTGTAATCTCTAAAATATTCTACATAATTATGAAGTGTTATTTTTCAGTAAAACTTTATATTTTATCTGTTATTTTTCTATCATTTCTCTGTATACAAGTTTGGTCAATTTGATGGACCTTGTAACTACCACCAGCATACCTTATGAAAATTTTTTATTACTACTATTATTTATTTTACCTAATCTAACCTAAAAAGTATCTAATTTCTACATTTTAATTACTTTTATAATAATAGATAAAGAATACACAGGAAAAAAAAGAAAAAAGTACTTACCTGGATCTTTTTTGATGTTGACTGTCAATGACACTGAACCTTACTTTTTTGTGCTAAAGTTACCACTGCACTAAATGATAAATATATTTATTTAATTAAATAATGCAACAAAGAACATGCAGAAAGCAGACAATGTTTCATAACTATCACAATTTTTCTGGCTTTCTAACTATACGACAAGAGCTGTTAAAATTCAGCGAAGCTCTTTGATGTGTTTCCTGTGGGATTAAAAGTTTGAACTGGAAGCAAAATAAACAATTCTCTATACAGAAAACAACGAAATGTAATACATCATTTGATAGATTAAATCTTGGCTTTCTATTGGTTATAAATAATATAGTATTAAACTTCAGAGAGAACTATTAGCAATTTCTGAAAGAGAGAATGTGACAGTGGGGTCTAATTTTCTATTTTATGGCTCTGTAACCAAATAAGATTAAAGGCTATAAAAATTATGCTTTGCCTGAGTGATTACAACATTATAATATATAATTTACTTTAAATTTCATACTTCTTGGAAGGGTGGTAAATAAATTAGATAAGAGAGGGTTCCTAGAGAGCAAATATCAGAATTTTCACACATCAGGATATTGAGGATTTTTGTTAAATATTGCTTTATACAATTAAGAACTTAAAACTTATATAATGTTAAAATTTGGATTATTAGCTATGTTTTTATTCCAAGTTTATTTAGATACCATGATAAGAAAGTAGTTTAATTACATTTTGATTGTAACTCACTAAAACCTCCTGACATGTTCCCAAAATGATGTCCATTCTGAAAGAGTTAAATTAAAAAAGAATGGATTAAATTGTATTTCAAAGAGCAATAGACGTAGAGGTTTTGTTGGATTTGGAATAGAACACAGTCAACAAACAGAGATGTAAGACAATTATTGAACAGCAAATCTTGACTATTATATTGGAAAATATGACTCTCTCCTTGGAGATTGAAGAGATTATGATCTGAATGTGCCAAAACTGGATTCATATTACACATTCTTTTTGTAGCTTACCAATTAGAAAACAGGCACTGGAATGGATAAATATAACTATTTCATGTCACAGTTTCAAAGAACTCTTGCACATGACGTCAAAAATTCTCTTCGACCAATAAAGAGCAGTATTTATCAATATAAGATTTGGTAAAGCTTTACATGCTAGCAATGACATAAATATTGCCTTTGACAAAACTCACAGATTTAAAATTTTACAGTTATTCAGTTTCTCGATATGTTTCTTTATGCATGTAGCTAAGATTATTTACAGCATCATATAACATGATATTAGAAGGTACCTTTGTCATTTTTTACCTAAGATGAATGTAACCACTCTGGTATCCAATATGATGGAGTAAACTATAAACCTCATGACTTTTAGATATCAGTCCAAGATACAAGATAAATTAGGATGCAATACAACTCTCCAAGGAAACAGCAGATAAGTTTCTTGACTGGAAAGTTTAAAGAAAGTAACACCTGAAGCTAAATTTAGCCCATGACTTCAACTGGAGTTTACCAGCTACAGACTTTAAACTTAGAATTTTTTTTTAATTTGTGCATGCAAAATATATGCTATAGGGGAGTAAGGTATGTAGTATTTGCATACTACAGTCTTCTTTTATCTTATGATTTTCCTCATGTTATCTTTAAACACCAATTAAAATCATATGAAAACCACATTCTTTGATACTGTACTTGTGTTTGTAATTGGTTGGACACTATAAAACTCGTATAAGGAAAGAAAGAAAATCCAAAAATGAGATTGCAGTTAGTCTGAGTGCAAAGTGATTTTCATGTTAAAAATAAAAATATTTTTCCCTTCTTACAGTTTTCATATTTCATTTGCATTTTTTTTGGTAAAACTATAATTTATCTTTTATTTTTGTCTACCCCCAATATTTACTGTGGGTGGCAAAATCTACAGACACACATAATACAATTTCATTAACAAGTTTAAGTACTGAAAAATGTTTACATATTCATATTTCGTTTATGTAACAGCTAGAACCTTCTAATTAATAACAAAAGTTCTTTTTTTTGTAAATGATACTTGAAATTGTCAGTACTTGGTGAAACTCCATTATTTGTATAAAACTATAATTTATCTTTTATTTTTGTCTACCCTAACATTATCTGTAGCAAAATCCTAAATTTACTAGATATTATTGAGTCATAGTGATTCAGACTGTAATTAGTTTTTTTTACATTGGACCATAGCTTCTTCATGATGTTTTCAGCTTAATATCATCTGTCAGATTATATATATAGGCCTTCTTCACCAGCCATTCAAGCTTTGCACCTTTACCCTTACCTTAACTAAAAATTCATATATGTATATGTAATTTAACAGTAAATTAAGATAGAATTGCTTGTTTTGCAGTTAAGCACAAAACTACACATTGGGCTATCTGTGCTCTTACCATCATGGGTATCGAAACCTGGTTTCTAGTACTGTAAGTCTGCAGACATACCGCTGTGCCACTGGGGGGCAATTATGATAGGAGTTTGTAACATTAAAATAAATATTAAACCAGTGTAAATAAAAAATATTTTATTATACTTCAATACATTGTGTCTTTATGTGTTCATATCACCTTTTTGGAAGGTAATCTAATAAAATAATAAATGATAATAATGGGATTCAGTAAAATCATATGAAAATCACAATCTCTTACACTATACTCATGTTTGTAATTGGTTAAATAGTATGAAACCCATATCAGGATAGAGAGAGAGAGAATTTAAAAATGAGACTGCAACTAGTCTGAGTGCAAAATCATGACAAACATAATGTGAGATAATGAAGAAAATGCATTAGAGAGATACTATTTAGAATCTCATAGCTAGTGAAAGTTTCAATATTTTAAACTTCAAACAAACACTAATATTGTATCAGCGATTGTAATTTTCTTATGATTTTACTGGGTACTGTTATTATTTTTTTAATTGCCATTTAACTTAAAATTAAGAGAAAACAACATGTTGTAAAATATAGAAAATGCCTTGGAGAGATAAGATTGGATATGGTTATTTAAAATCTTGTAGCTAGAGAGAGTTTTAATATTTAAACTTTTTAAACAAACATGAGTATTGTATCAGGGATTGTAATTTTCATATGATTTTACTGGATCCTGTTATTATTGATATTGATATTTAAGTTAAAGTTGAGGTTACTTTGCACTTAGATTAGTTACAGTCTGAGTATATACCAAGCTTAGGTAAAGTAAGTGTAAAGGTACAAAGTGCCAGTTAATAAGTCCTTACAGATTTCATATTAGACCCTTCTCTTCCACACTTGTTCTCCAATTTAGAGTCTGTACACTGTAACCTTGAATCTCTTTTTATTTGTGGTTCCTGTTATGGACTATGTAGCCAACAAAGTGAAAACATATAGGTTGGATAGCTTATGGTGTTGTGGTGCAGGTGAAAGTAAGGCATCAAACTGCCTTGGGATAGGTCAAAGGTATGGGTTCCTTTGGCACAACTTTAGATAGATAGCTTAAAGAAGTCAGGAGTTAAGCTGGTGCTTGTCTCGTTCATCTCATCTTACTCTCATCATCAAAAGGTGAGATAACCTAGAAGTTGGAGACTGGGATGAGGCAGTCCACGATCATTATTGTCTGAGCTGAAGGAGCATCCTTTTCCACTAACTTAATTTTTAATGAAGTATTCACCGGATTCTCTGGCTTAACACTCTCATTATGGGGTTGGTCAAATTGGCTGAGTTTGTGACCTCAAATTAACTTTTAGAGTATCCATACTATAACTTCTAATATATTTTGTGTATCTTCACGAAATTTTGGAAGCTTTCAGTAAGCAGTAAGAGAATTTTGTAGACAAAACTTCGGAATTTTTAATGAAGTATTTCCTTAAAAATTTCTTCTTGAATATATGTAGTTAAAGTGTTGAGTGCTTCGAGTACAAAGTGATTTTCATGTTAAGGTTAAAAAATACTTTTCTTCATATATACTTAGCCAGTTGTAGGCTTAGAATTTTTGTAAAATACAGAATTGACAATATATACATTATTAATAATAAATAACAATATGAATGTAATTACATGAAGTATTTATTAGATATTTTTGAAAGCAAAAACAAGAGAAATTAAACAATATGTAATATGAATTCAGTCAATAATATTAAAATAGATATGAATCCAATGAAGAATTATTTAGAGATTGAAGAAGAGTTTTTATGGACAACATCTCTTTTTTTATCACATGTTCAGTTTCATGCTTAGCTGCTGAGAGGATTTTAAAGTTACAGAGAGAAATTGAATGTTGTTTCATGTTCGTAAACAGCAGAGTTATGAGGGTTTGTAACTTTTCTACCAGTTTGTACTGAAATATCCATATGGTCAAATATTAGTACTTTAAGGTGACTTTAGTTTCATCATTATAAGAGGCTTTGCAATCTTTGTACATGTATAGATAGATGAGATGTGAGCAATGGACATCCAGTACACAATCTTTTAAGTGGAAAAAATTTAAAATCTGAAATTTGCTTTAAAAATTACTTTAGATTAACTTGAGGATAGTAACAGTTACATAATTTTTTAAACTGCTTCTTGATAAGAGAGCTCTGTTTTCAAAGATTTGGTAAACAGGTGAATAAAGATAGTTTGGGTACACTAAGTATTTTAGGTGGCTTGGCAAACACATTTGTTAGAAATGAGCAAGTTATTTTCTCCAATATATTATTTGGGTAGCCATTCTGAAAAAGAGTGTTTTGTATAAAAGAAATCTCTTTGTGAATGGTCAGATAGGAAGAGGTAAAGTTCTAGGTCCTATTTAGTAGGCAGAGTCTGAGATTGAATTTGTAAGAAAAAGGTGCAAAACTGTCAAACTGGGTGAAAATGCATTTTGAAGGTATTTTAAGCTATAAAACATTGCTAATTACTTTGACATCTTTTAGAGAAAATGCAGTATTAAGATATTGTAATTGGTAAAAAGGAACAGTCTTGTGGAATTTTCAAGAAGATTGTAGGGGTGTGTGGTTTTTAACTGTAGTGGATTTGAATTATATGTATATTTATTTATTCACTGTATTTTAATTTTTATATCTTTTGATACCTTGAAAAATAATATATATAATCTCACTAATTATATTATTCATCCTGAGACTACATTTTCCTAAAAATATTTCATTGATCCATATAATTTGGAAAAGATATAATGAAGATGTTTTAAAAAAATTTAGGATTGCTGATAAACTTTAAACTACAGAAAACAAGATTGCTTGTACATTATTAAATGAGTATGTACAATATGCCTTGGTTCCAAATTTTTGAAATTTAAATTGGCTAATTATAACTTAAGATCTAATAAATATTACAGATTTTTCAAAAAAGAAGTTTTTAACTTTAGAATTGACATATAAACTGAAGCTGCCTCAAATTTAGATTTTGAATGAAATAAGGTTGAAACAAATAGAAAAGTTGTATAAATTAAAGCATGAAATGTTTAGCATGCCTTATGTTCTTAGAAGATTCTACTCAGGTCATTTATAATTTCTCAGATTATCAGTTAACTCAAGTAGAAGAAAAGGTATTATCACGATGATTAAAGTTTTTCAATTACTCCTAAAAAATTGGATTATGTAGAATATTTTTCTTGTTTTGAATAGTTACTATAGAAATTAAAATGCATATCATTAGGTGAAGGAACTTTTTTGTTTCATAACATATTTACTAAAATTTCAGTTTTGGAATTTTCAGGATAATATAGTTTTGACTTGAAGAAAGTTCAAAAGAACTTATCTAAATAAGAATTTTTGGCTTTAAAACATCTCGGCTCACTTGATAATTTTGTAATTCTTGAAATGGATAAAGGTAATGGTGTAGTGATTTTGAATAAAAAATTATATAGACAAAGTTTTAACTATTTTAAATGATAACACTAAATTTAAGAAATTAGAATCGGATCTTACAGTAACAAAAGAAAGACGTTGACAGAATTATTTGTTAAAAATTAAAAAAGAAGGTTTGATATCTGATGTCATCTATAATGAAATTAGACCAGTTGGTTCTCATTATCAAATATTTTTTGGGTTACATAAAATACATAAATTGTCCCATTAGACCAATTGTGCCAAGTATAGATACCTTCACTTATAAATTAGCAGGTTTTTGGTGTTTTTTTTAATCTCATGTAACTAATGAACATACAGTAAAAATATAGTTTTGAATTTTCCAAAGATATACCTAAAGTGGTTTTTGATGAACCTGTCTATATTGCCAGTCTTGACACTGAGTTCTTATATACAAATTTACCATTAAATGAAGTAATTGAGTTTAGTAGTAATTTAATTTTTCAAAATTCTGAAGTTATTAGGGGTATAACTAAACCTGTTTTTATAAAATTATTAGAGTTTGTCACCAAAAAAATCAAATATTTTTCTTAGTGGTTGTCATTATGAACAACAAGATGGGGTGTTTATGAGTTGGAGTATTGTACCATGTTTGGCTAATTTGTTTTTAAGTTATTACATGGTTAAAAAGTTTAAACTTTATACTATAAAAAAATATGTTGATGATACTTTTGTAGTTTTTAAGAATAAACGTGATATTCAAGAATTTCAAAATTATCTGAACAATCAACATAACAATATTAGATATGAAGAACAAACAGCTAATAGCTTACTTTTCTTAAATACCAAGATGACTGTTATTTTATTTAGAAGTTTTAACACAAAGTGCTATCATAATCCAACTTTTACAGGACAATATTTTCATTTTTTACCTTTTGAATTTAAAAAGAACCTAATTCATAATTTAATTCATGGGGCTTATAACATAGTTAGTTCTTTGTCCTCATTCTGTGAAGAAATAAGAACATAAGGTTGTTTTACAAAAAATAGTTTCCCTGTATAATTAATTGATAGTGTTATTGGGAATTATTTAAAAGCTTTGTACACTCCAAAAATTAGTAAACAGGTTAAAAATGAAGAAATAGTTTATTGTATTCTACCATTTACTGGTAATCATTCTATGGAATTAAGGAAAAAAATTAAATCTATTCTGAATAATAAAATTTACCCACATATTAAGTTTAAAATTGTTTTTAAACCAATATTTCATTTAAGTAATTATTTTAAATTTAAAGACAGGATTCCTATAATGAATATGTCTTTTGAATATGTGTTATGAATACAGATTTTACTTTCTAAAAACACTACTAGTATTTCTAAATCAAACTGTAATGTGAGATTCTTAGATGAGAAAGAAGATAGTTTTTTATGAAATGTTTTAAAATACCTAACTGAAAGGAAGCACTGTAGTTTTCTAGAACACTTCCAATATCATAGAATAATGCCAATTTAATCATACTTTCAGTAATTCAACTGTGTAATATCCTGCATTTAAAAGTTTGATATTTTGTCTAATTTCTCACATATTCTTTTAATACTTATTCCAAGCATGTTTTTCTTTTAGGTTTGAGCATATTTTACTTAAGACCTGATAAATTTCCATGTGAGAATCCAGTGAGCTTCTGTCTATGGTTAATGTCTAATGTAGTACCACTTTACCAGTTTAATGTCACAGGACAACTCAGACCTGGAATTTTAGTAAGTGTTAAAACAATATTTTTGACCAGTTATTAAGTATATAAGTGGCAGAGATTTTAGATGAAGAAGTACATTTATATATTTTTCTTTTGAATTTTACACTTCAAGAGGATGTAATAAAATTTTGGGAGCGTGTTGTATAATAATGTTAAAAAAACGTTTAACTGATGCCATTAAAACTTGTATGTTAGATAAAGTTCATTTTAAGAAGTAGTGTTGAAATGATTTTAATTAAATAAATTTGACTTTAATAAACCTTTGATATTCATTTGGTATTTTAAGAGTCTTTTACTCTTAAGTTCTTTTGGAGATCAGTTTACTGATTTTAAGAGTTCTTTTCACAACTTCTTCTTTCAGGTAAAAAAGATTAACAATGATTAATATAAAAGCGAAAGTGGTCAATAAATTTGGAGTTAAGAAAACCCATTTGCACAAATTGGTCTTTATGTTAAATATTTAGATAATTATAGTTAAGATTATTTGTAACAATTTATAAACAATTCAATGTAAAATGTTTTTTTAGTTGCTTGAATTGTGTAAGTTAAATAAGAGGACTGTCAGGATTTAAAAATATAAGTATTATATATATAATTTTCCTTTTTGCCCTTTGTCAAATATAAAGGCTTTTAGTTATATTTCTTATTAGTATGAATATATAAACAGCATGCACTTCACTTGTTTCCAAAATGATATATATATTTCAGAACAAGTTAACGTATGTACAATAAATTCTTCAACACTATAGATATTATGGACATATCATAAATACTATATATGTAGCTCTCTCCTTCTTGTCAAATATCCACTTAGGCCTATTCAATTACTTTAGAATTTCATTTGACAATCCGACCTATCTTCTCTATTTCTATCACGCTAGTACTCTCTGTGATTCACTTACAATTGTGGCGCGAGTTACCATAATCGTTTGGTCTTCTTTCTTTTGAAGATCCTCTGTTCCTTTTGTCAAAATGCACTCAGGCTAATTTAGTTACTTTAGAACCACACTTTGATGGAATAAAATTATTTTTCTTATCTTCTTTTCTACTGTTAGTTTCACTCTAACATATTAAATGTTAGGCCTATCACTTCTATGGTAGTTAACTTCACAACAACTTTATTCTCTTTTGCTATTATCTGTCTGCTGCTTCCCGCTAGTCTCACGCTATGTATATCTTTATCACTTAATTGTCTGTCCACCTTCTATATTCTCAAAGTCAATGAATTACTAACAAAACTTCCTACAGTCATCTGCTTTTAACTCTTATTATAACAAATACTAAACAATAATAAAATATTCACTCACAAAAATAAATTAATCACTAATATCTAAACCAAACAGTCTCTTATATCATGACATGGACTAAGAGCCGTGAACAGTTTTTGTGTAAAAAAAATTATAATTTTGGATTTGTATAATAAGCAAGGATTATTGCAGTATACTTCAATATGACCATTAAGACATAATTCAACATCCAAATAGCAATAGGTGTGATCTGTTTACTGTAAAAACCACAGTTGCTCTTCATGCATATCATCAGTTTATGTGGACATACTTTGAAGTTTCTATGTTGTACTGGTGAACATTTTTCTTTCAATCTCGTATGTGAGTGATTCTGAATGAGTACATTTGTTTTTCTTGTGGACAATTTTTTATACTAAACCACTTAGAAAATATGATTTCCTTTGGTGTGTTCTGTAGGACACTTGAAATATTTTCATAGGTGTCCATTGAATATCTTATAGATATTTTGTACAAAATCTTCTCACATCAAGAGCTGTTTAATAAAGATCTAACATAGACTGTAATCACTCAACCAGAAGATGAAATAATATGAATCATGTATTATAAATGGTTATTTCTTTTACATTCTTAAATAAGAGTGGAACATATAATAGCCAATGCTGTTGTCTCTTGTGTTACTTATGGGTAACATCTAAAAATTGAATATGCAAAAAAACTACATAATTTGTTGTGTTCTTGCAGTGAAAACAAGGTTCTGGTTGTATGTTTTTCTGTTAATACTTAGAATTCAATAATTTATCTATGAGTTATTATGTCTTAACGAAGTTTCCATCATGTTGAGTTTATTTATTTATATAAATTCTTTGTTGTTACGTTGTTAGCTGTGTAAAGCTTAAGCACTTCATCCATTATATCAGTTTTGTTCTTAACAGCCAGTCATGTTTGAAACAGCAAAAAAGAGTGTTGAATGTTAAGCTTAGTAAATGACAACATTAAGATTTAATAAAGCAAAAACCAGATTTTTTTGTTTATAATTTCAGTTATAATTAGTTCTTTAAACTCAGGTAAATGTTTCTGGAATATTATTATGTTTAGGTTCAGAGTAACTACTATGATGCCAAGGAGCTAGTGAACCAAGCTTTACAAAATCAAGTAAGACGGCTGCCTAATTTAAGTAGAACTGTGTCAGAAAATTGATTAATTGATATAACTGATTACCCATGAACATTGGATACAATGATTGATGTCACTAAAATAATTGATTAATTGTAATTACAATTAAATCAAGTAATGTCATGAAGATAATCAATAAGAATTCTGAAATTATGTCCTTACCTCTTTGCACACAGCAGCTATTCCTCACATGTCTGCTAGCCTTGAGCCATTTCACACCTAAGACACGTGTGTTAATGTGAACTGCACTAGTGTGACAATAGCCCTCCACCAATAGGAGGGCAACACATTCTTCATAAGTAGTAGATCTCCTAAGGCGTGTGATCTTGAAATTGATTTCATTCTTTTCCTCAGCATTATCATGAATATACATGTTTATTGAACTTTTAACTTTGTTCAATTTAGTGAGATTTGTTTAATGTGTCGTGGGGATTGTTAATGCCTTCATTACCTGATCTCTCTGTATCTATGTTGGAAGTAAGTTTCTCTCTTTCTGAACCCAATTTTTTTTCTCACCTGTAGAGGACGGTGTTCCTTCTTCAAATTTCTATGTGGATTTGTTTCCTCAGGTTTGTTCTTTGCTTTCTCATTCATCTATGTATTTTGATTCTTCCCATTCTTCACTACATGACTCATGCTAAGGATTATTTGGTTTTTCTCCCATCTTCAGACATACGTGTCTATGTTGGCATGTTTCTGGATTAGCTTTATTCACAGTTTCAAATGCCTTGTTCTTTTAGCCTCCAGAATTCCTTTGCTATGGCTTATGATCACTCTTGGATTCCCTTTTACCTATTTGATGGCTAACCCCCTGTCTCAATTTTCCCATCTTTGCCTTTTTCTTATCCATCTCTTGTTACCGATTTTTTCTTCATCTTCTCTCTGAAGCCTTGTACCATAATCCTTATGGTTTTTATGGAGATCTATAATTGGTATTTTACAATACCATGGCCAGGGCTTTTCTTCTACTATGTCCAAGTTTACCTGGTTTCTCTGTTGTTGCAACCTTCTGGGACATAAAGTTCTTCTCTCTGCTTTTCACCTTCCCTATTATTACCTACATCATCTCCTTATTTTCTTTCTGAAGCCTTTGGAGGTGTTCCTAACACCTTTGAGACTCAGGATGAGGCTGCCCACCCCAACACTCATGTTTCTTTATGGTTTCTTATCTCTCCCACCCTTTTGAATCCACACCTTTTCTTTGACATTGTTAACCCTCCACTCCACTCTCTCTCCCTATTTCTTCTCCCTTCTTGTTCTTGTTGCTCCCTTCTGTTGAGTTGGCTGTTGCACATCATGTTGGAGACTACCTCCCTTTGTACCCAGTTGGCTTATACCACATATTTTTGTTTTCAGACCTCTGGACCCTATTTGCAGCTGACTGATGAGTCATTCAAATTATTATACATAGCCTTTATTTCCAATTCTTGTCTATTCCTCTGTTTCATTTTCCCATTCCTTTTCATACTTCTTCTGATCCTCAGCATCTGTTGCATCTCAAGGCTGTAGTATCAGACCTTTTGGACAAGAGGCCCATCAAGAGGGTCCTTTGTCACTCTCCATAGTTTTATTCTTGTCTTTTTGTTGTCTAAAAAAAAGACTGGGGACTAGCATCCCCTCATAAAACTTTCTTCTCTTAATCACTTGTAGTGATTCCTCATTTCAAGATGGGGGGATTTCTTCCTCTCTGTTGGCCCTTTTTACCCACACTATGGATGACTTAGTTTTGATTGTTTCTCTACATATTCTAATTGACCTGTTTTCCCAATGATTTCTTTGCTTTGTTCACCATGATTAGATGTACCAGTTTCTATCTGTCCCCATCAGTTTTAGTTCAGCTCCTTCTGTATTCAACCAAGTCATGGAGGCATTTGCTCACCACATCCATGGTCTTGGACTTCATTTCCACTCTTACATGGAGGACTGGCTCCTCCTTGCTTGTTTTCAGGAGGCCTCTTTCTTGGCTGTCACTTTTCCTCCAAGAATCTGTTCTTCTCAGTTGATTGGTCAAATTTTCCACATTGTTCCTCAATGTCACCCAATACTTAGTTTACTTGAAATCTTTAATTCTGAACTCAGTCAGGCTCAGGTTTTCCACATTCATCTGTAAGACATGGAGCATCTACTCTCCTCATTTCTTTCCCTTCCTATACTTCCTGCTTGAGAGGTTCTTTCTCTTTTGGGGACTTTCTTACATCTCTGACCATCTTGTCCCTTTAGGGCATGCTCACATGAGGTTTCTTAAATGGACTTTGAGCAATGAAGGAAATATATTTTGCAATCCCCCTGTCTTTTCTTGTAATGCTCATGCTTCCTCTTCTCAAGGATCTTTCTTGGTGGCTGGATCATACAGTGAGCATTAATTTGCCTCTCCCATGTCCAGACCTCCATCTTTCCACAGATAGATCTCTTACGGGTTGGGGTACATCTCTGGAGTACTCCACAACCTCAGGGGTGTGGTTTCATGTGGAGAATACTTTCCATCTCAATGTACTGGAACCCTTGGCTGCCCATCAAGTATGTTCCTATATCCTACCTCTCCTTGTGGATCATTTGGTTTTGCTCGACTCCAACAATTCTACAGTCATTTTATTATGTCAGGTCAAGATTCTCTCCAAAGACCTTTACTTTTGCATATTGGATTTTCTATTTTGAGCCCATTCACTTTGGGTTCATCTATCTATCATATCCTGGGGGCTTTGAAGTTGGTGTCAGATTGTCTCTCTCTCTACTATACACGATTCTTTTGTTGGATCTGTTCCCAGTTAGGCTCATCAATGATCAATACCATCAACACTCCTCTCAGTTCCTCAGACAGGACTGGCTTCATCTCTTTCTGTATGTATACTCTTGTGTTTGTTTTCTTCCACATTTCTTGGCTTTTCTTGTGACACTCTGTGTTGGGTCCTGTTAGTAGCCCTCTTTCAGTTTGCTCAGTCTTGGTTTTCTCTTCTTCACTGACTAGCATCCAAGACACCTCTTTCTGTGCCTCCTTCCTTGCCATTCTTGCTACAACCTCATTTGTCTCTCTCTTTCACACATCCGTGTGGTTCCGTTGTCTTAACGTGTTGAATTTTCTTGTCTCTTGCTTTATATGGCAGGTTTCTCTGACAACGTAGCTGTTCTTTTAACCTATTAATGTCACCCTTCTACTCTCTCTGTCTTTCATAAAAGTTGCATGTTTTTCTATGCTTGTCTAGCCACCATTCTCTTCCACTTGGACATTCTACAATTGCCCAACTTTTGGCCTTCTTTACATGGTTGTTGGTTTCTGCTATAGCTGGCTATCAGGAAGCATTGTTCACTGCCTTTGGACTTTTTGTTCCATGGTTCCATCTTTTCCTCCCCTGTTCTTTCCACCTTTTCCCAGTCCTACCTCATTCAATTCATTTGACCAACTGAAACCTTAATGCCTTACATGCTGTTATCCCGGCTCAGTTTGAACCATTGGCTACTTGCTCATTATATCATCTTTCTTTCAAAACCTATTTCCATCTCCTTCTTGCTTGTTGTTGTCACAGAGATCTTTCTTGTTTTGATTCCCCTACTGCTCGTTTCTTCCTAAGACATTGGCAGTTTGGGAAGGAAGTTGTTCCTTCTCTCCCATTACTCTTCCATAAATTTTGGCTATCTATGATCATACTGATCCTGATCATCTCTTTTGCAGGATTTCTGCAATTCTTTATTCTTGCTATGAGGCTTCTCTTCTTTGAGGGATCTCTCATTCTTTATGCTTACTGGATGGACTTATCATATCATCTGGATCATATATTCCTCCCTGGATGGATATACTAGCAGGCTGTATCTTGTCTCATCACATAAAAACTACCACTTAACTTACTCTCTGTCCTCATACTTTGGACAACCCTTGGATGATATCCTCCAGGCTGAAATGTGGACTATGCTCAACACCTTCATTTCTCATCATCTCCACCATCTGACAGTTTCATCACTCTTAGGATATTACAGTAATCCATTGCACTTTTTTCAGTAAAAGACCTTTAGGGTGGGTAGGTCTGATTGGATCTAGGAACCTCTCTGGTGCCTCCCCAATGCAAATTCCTTTCACCCTGGTAGTTGAGAGGAGTAAGAGAAGCTCTTGCCACTTACCAGTTCCTGACTGCTGGGGTGTTTGACTTTGAGAATTCCTCACTGTTTGTGCAATCTCTTCAGAGAGAGTGGACAGTACAGCATGATGAGAAGTAGGATAGGGCGTCTACATGTCATTGTAGTACAGGCCACCCCCATTATATCAGATACTAATTCCCTGATGGTTTGGCTAGTCAGATGTTGCAAGGTGTTTTTCTCCCATTACAGAAAAGGTTTTTCATCCCTATTCCTGTAATGCACAGTGAGTAATTTATACAACAGAACATCAGTCGATTGTGTTCAAATTCTTGGTAGTCATACACTTTTCCATCAACCTCTGTAACACATTAGCTTCTTCTCCTTCATTCTTTCATATTTTATCTGTGAGAAGAATATACCTTGCATGAGATGGATGCAGTTTCCCCTCTATTAAGCCCCCACTATAGGGTGTCATACTCTGTGGGCTTACCCTTCAATCACTTCCTTGAAGGTAACTTATCTAGGTTTTCATAATTGTTGAGAGGTAAGGATATAGTTTCAGAAATTAACTTTTTACTTACTTGAAAATGTATCTCCCATAGATACTTGCCTCTTTGCACACTTTCCAATTGTCAGGTTTTCATATGTATGGATGGGTCAGATTCTTTACAGTAGATGTCTGTGACTTGTTGGCAGTAAATTTCAACAATAAACAAACTACACACATTTAACTTGTTTTAAAATAATATATTAAAACAAGTCAAAGATTTATACACACACACACACACACACAAATGTTTGTTATACTGTTTGTTATCACAGTTGTATCCAGAGCTTTAAGTAATTGTCTTTCTTTTTTTTTTTTGGTCAAAGTCCACACAGGCTGTTTCAATTACTTTAGAACACAGTTGACAAGACAAATTATTACTCTCTACACTGTTATTACAATACAATCTGTCATAATTCACATTCTGTCATAATAGAAAACAATCCACATGGATTCCATTGGTAATTCAAGGTTCAATTTATTCAGTCTTAGTTAACTGTTCCATTTATGAAAGCATAAGTTATATTTTAATTCAACAACAGTATATGGAACCTAAAGTACAATGATTTTAATGTTAAGATGTGAAATTTGCATTCATTAATGTAAATGACACCAACTGACTGAATGGAACATATTTAAAAAGCTTAGTTATTTCTTATTTGAAAGCTTGAATATATTAACAAATTTAAGATATTGTGTAATATATGTATAAAGTAATAGTGTTTGGACTTGGAGGATAGAAATATGATGTTTAGTTGTATGAATAAAAACAACAATACATGATTATTTGATGTATTTAATACTAAGTAACTTATAAATTGAAAAAGAAATTGGTATGAACATCAGAGTAATATGGCTTGAACTATCATGTTTAAGACCCATCATAGTTCATGTTATCTTTTAATGTATGTTTAATTTGTTGTCAGACAATTATTGTAAAGTTTTTAATGAGAAATTTACTTCTAAGATAAAATTTTTATGAACAAACTTTTGTCAGATTCAGCAAAGAGATGAGCTTGCTCTTCGTGGAGTTTTAGTCTGTTGTCTGCGTCTTTCATGCTATTGGGAACCAAGTGTGGAATTACTGATACCTTTGACGGATTTCTTCTTGAAAAGACTTGTAAGGGGATTTATGTATTTAACATTTTATATTTTAAAAGCTATGCTTTATGATTTTTATTTTTTATTATTATTGTACTTTCATTATGTTTGGTTTACCAGTCCACTGTAACTTTTTTTTCTTAGTTTGGTCTTATCTGTATAAATATAATAGTACTGTCTGTTGTATGTCCATGTAACTACTTTGCAGGGTGTGCATGGATCTTCACCAAAATTGGTATGGAGGTTCATTAGATCCATGCGGGGGTGCATACAAATTTTCAGTTTTGCAGTTTTTACCACTACTTCACCTCCTGTTGATGGATCTTCACCAAATTTGGCATAAAGGATTGTTGAGTCCATAGGAAGATACATACAAATTTTCAGTTTTGTGGTTTTTATGAGCATTTTTAACACTACTTCACCCTCTGGTGATGGACCTTCACCAAATTTGGCATGAAGGTTTGTTGGGTCCATGCAGAGATACATGCAAATTTGCAGTTTCACATTTTCTGTTCTGTAGTTTTTATGGGCATATTTGTGTGTGTTTTTTACAATTACGTATAAGGGAAGCAACTTTTGATGTCTTAAGATAACCTTTCATTAATCATGTATTTACATACCTTCCATCCAGGGGATTGGTACTTCAGTGTATAATGATAGAAAGTCAAATCAGGGCTTATAACATTTGTAATTTAAAGCAGTTTTAATTGGTACATAACATTTAGTCATTGACTTACAGACCATTTTAAATCTTGTTAACATTTAAATGCTTGTTTTGACTGTTGTTGTAATATCTAAAATGCTTTTTTAGCATGTTTTTGTTTTATTGTAACATAATTACTAAAAAACTTCTTTATTATAAGCACATTTACAGCAAACTCAACTACAAATGTTGCTAAATGAAAGATGTCTGTCTGAAGTTATAGTTTTCTAAGAAGGACTTCTTGGTCAGCTCCTCTATTGCTGTGTACACTGTAAATTACTCTTATCCTACAGAGTAACAGACCATACTACTGAGTTTTTGTAAACAGTCTTCTGGACAGTTAGTAACATTCATTGTACACATGAAATTATCTGTGTGATAATAGATACGCATTATTGAATCATATACAACTAGACAAGTTAATAATAAATTCATGTACTCCTAACAGTAACAGACTGGCTTACCACAAGGTACCATACAAGGTTTCTGTGGTACTAGACACATATTATTTATCCAGACATTTATGCTATACAAATATTTAGGACAAATATGTATTACTGTATACTCATACCAATGTTTAATGTACTACTGGACAAACAGTCATGATCCTATTTGCTTCTGACAGCAATAGACCATGAGGTATACAATAAATGACTTTTTTATTACTAGATATATGTTATTGATTTGTGTCACTAGAAAAACAAGAATGAAACCATATACCTAACAGTAACAGACCTGTGTACCACTTAGTAACTTATGTACTAATAGACACCTATTAGTGACTCATGTACTATTAGACACATGTAAGTCATGTACCACAAAGTGCACAGTAAATTATTTTTCTACTTATACATATTTATTACCGACCCATATATTGATAAACATAGAATAATGAACCCATATATTTTTAACACTAAATACTTCATATACTACTAGATATATATTATTGACTCTTGTTTTGCTATACAAACATTAATGAAGTCTTGTACTTCTAACAGTAACAGACTTGTAATAGGTTTTTATTTCACACATTCAATAGCATGAACATTTCATGAAATTTCCACTTTATTTTCTTTGAAAAGGTAAAGTGATATTTATTTGTTAGTATGTGTAAGCTTTTACTTTTTGATTTAACATTTAAATTAATGTGATGCTGCAAAAACATTGTTGGAAAAACAAACACCTTTTTTTTTGCCACATAAGTAAATAAAAGATTCTTGAATAAGTTAGTGTCTGTTAGTGTCTCTTCAATTTATATAACCTAACTTGAAATATACTTATTTCTTCAAGACTGACTATTGTGGTATTCATATGACCATAATATTTTTCATTTATAATAGATGCATCTGGATGCTTTTTAAGAATAATCAAGCTTAGCTTGGCCAGTGTTACTTTTTAAAAATGGTCCTCTCAATGAAATAGAAACATACATTTTAACATTTTCCAGTGACAGAATCAATGATCTATTGAGATGCAAATTACCAATCAATTTTTAATTGTTTTATTTTCAGTGTGAATTTGCTGAAAACTATTTCATTAATTTATTATTACAAACAACAGGTTAGGTGGGAGGATTATTCCTTTAGCAATTCTAGGAATGAGAAGTGGAACATAATTTTTAAATTTAACAAAAGAAGTCTTTGCTTTGCATCATTTAGCATTTCTTCAACTTTTTACTTCTGACCTTCTTATGCCTGAATAGCCATCAGAAGTTTTGTGACCATGTGTAAAAGAAATTCCATTTTCTGTATCTTCTAGATTTTGAAATGCATTGTTTGAAGATAAGAGATTTATTAAAATTGATTGATGATTTTAAAATGTTTTAAAAATGCACAATGATTAATTGTATAAAATTAAAAACAAATATAAAACTAAAAAAACTACATGTTTCTGTGGAACATGCTTCACCATCTTCAGGAGACAGGAAATTTCAGGTATTGGTATATGCACAATTTACATATTGTGTAGTGGTGCCATTTAACATATCACATAACATATTTGGACAACATGGTACCTATTGATCTATCTTGGCTGTTCCAGCTGATAAACTAAACTAAAACTTTTAATAAATATATTTAAAAAAAAGAAAAAATCTTGAAGCCAGCCCTTATCATTCACATATTTATCAAGCTTTCTCTTAAACACTCTTAAATTTAATGCCTCCACAAAATCCAAAGGCAACCCATTCCAAAGGCCAACCACCCTGTTAGAAAAATATAACTGTCTTAGCTGAAGATGACTTTTACCCTGCCAAAATTTATATTTGTGTCTCCTAGTCCTACTATTCTCACTGTTAAGTATGAAAAAAAGATGATGCATCAATGCTATCAATTCCCTTTACAATGTTAAACACATCAATCAGATCCCCTCTAACTCTTCGTTTTTCAAGAAAAAACAATTTGAAAGATTTCAACCTCTCTTTGTATGACAATCCCTCAATAAAAGGTACTGTTCTAGTAACCCTTCTCTGAACCCTTTCCAACAATGCAGTATCTTTCCTAAGGTAAGGAGCCCAAGACTGAACACAGTATTCCAAATGTAGCCTAACTGGTGACCTATACAATGAAATTATAACCTCTTTAGATTTGTATTCAACATTTCTGTAGATAAAACCTAAGATCATATTTTTCCTACCACAAGCAACAGCACACTGCTTGGATGGCTTTAGACTGATTGACTGTTACACCAAGATCACTTTCTTTCATGACACTGTTAAGATTATTCCCATCCAAATTATACTTATAATACAAATTATGATAACCCACAGCATTATTTTACATTTATTATAATTATAACCCATTTGCCATTTATTTGTCCAACTCACTAAATGATCTAAATCATGATTTTCTAAATCAGCAGCATCCTCTTCACAGCTAGCAACACCCAAGACCTTAATATCATCTGCAAATTTAAGTAATTTTTTGACCATTCTTGCATCTCATTGATGTAAATCAAAAATTGCAATGATCCTAAGGTACTCCACTTGTGACAAAAATCCAATTTGACAGAACTCCATTTCTAACAACCCTCTGCTTTCTTCCATCCATCTACTCTTCTATCCAATTTGCTAACTTATACCCCATACCTATAGAGATGATTTTTTTAGAAGCCTTTTATGTGGCACTTTGTCAAATGCTTTCTGAAAATCCAGATACACCAAATCCACACTCTTACCCTCATCTACATAAGCACTAACCTTTTCAAAGAATGTCAAAAGATTTGTAAGGAAAGATTTTCTCTTAGTGAAACCATGTTGACTATCCAATAAAATTCTAAATTTTGTTAAATGACTTTGTAAAGCATCTTTTATCAGACTTTCCAAAACTTTTCCCACAAGTGATGTAAGACTAATGGGTCTGTAATTACTGGGACAAGTTTTATCACCTCCCTTGAAAAGAGGAGTGACATTAGCTAACTTCCAATCCTCTGGTACCTGCCTACTATTCAAGGACTGACAAAAAACAGTAGCAAATGGCTCACATATGCAATTTTTAACCTCTTTCAAAACCCTTGGGGAAATATTATCTGGCCTATAAATTCATTCCTGTAGTATCAGGACCTAAATCTCTATTAAAAATCATTTTGTTTTTAGCAATTTCTAATTTGTACATTGTCTCAATCAATAATACATGAAAAGTTTGCCACATGTCTACCAGGGCCGAATAACTAGTTAGAATGACTCTGAGTTTTTGTTTTTCAAGTACAAACTTTTAGCTCGTACCTCCATCATCTCTTGAACAATTTGAAATCTAATTACAGTTTTGGACCAAGGAGGTTGTATCACCCATTATCACCAAAAATGTCCTCATTTTTGTTTTTTATTCATAAGGCCATTTAGTGTTTTTTTCATGTAATGAAGATCTAATGTTAGAATTGAATTCTTTAAAATATATAGCAATTGATTGAGGTTATGAACCTGATATTATAGATAGGATTTATAAAAAACATTGTAATAAATTACAAATTTCTCAGTGTATCAAACTACAGACAATAAGTAAGGAAAGGATATGTTTGCCATATGTTCCATCATTATCAACAAAAATAGGTAATGTGCTTATGAAAAATTTGACTTATCAAATAACCTTCTCAATTAAAATTAATTAATATCATTAATGATGTTAAAGATAAAATTGAAGTAAAGGATAGATGTGGAATATGTAAAATCTCTTCTAGTTGTGGTTGAAGTTATATCGGACAGACAAGTAAAAAAATTGAAGTTTTGAATTAAAGAAAATAAAAACACCACTGATAAATTAAAAACTAGTGATTTGGCCTTGGCAGAATATGTGGTGAACTCTTCACATAGTATTGATTGT